TCCTGACCAGCCACGTACCCGGACGTTCAAGTCCCTATCTCGCAGACGCGTCCGTTAGATAGTGGTTACGCAATATGGAAGCTATGTTGAGCCCCGTTAGGGGAACCTGTTCAGCCAAATGTCCAGATGATGCAGATGATGCAAAGCAGAAAATTGCATGTCTTGCATCCCTAAAGGCTTCAAGATAGCAAACATTAGCACGAATTTATCTTCCAGCACTTTAAGCCGGTTCCAAAACCGTGAAAAACATAGGATTTTAAAGCGAAAATGCCCCCCCCTAGCTAAAGCTATCAGTACTACTTGCGGTACTTGCGGTATAACGCGTGCCCTATAAAAACGCCTCAGCACCTTCGGTGCGGGCGGATTCCTGGATGACTTCATCCCGTCGCTGGTTGGTCACATCGCTCCCATGCCGCGCGATGTGAGGTGTGGAGCCTTTTCTTACTCATCGACTCCGATTCCAACGGCGTTTTGGACTTGGAGGAGTTCGTGACCGGGTGCATGCAACTTCGAGGCCCGGCCAAGAGCTTACAGGTCGCCAAGATGAGCTCCTCAGCTTTGGAGGGGGTTGTCCTGGAAGCTGGGAGAGGGTCTGATCCGCACGTTCGTTTGCGGGAGGAGTTGGTATTGTCGGTGGTCCGGTATGTTTGTTCTCTGTTGGAGCTTGCCAGTCTTGTTGACTTGGTGATCCAGTGCCAAGCGCAGACTCGCTCCCAATTGTTGTCGGAAAAACTTGATTGGTATATATGTGCCACGGTCAAAACATGCGAAGACCACTTTAGTAAAGAGGGGTAGGTTTGTGCACAAAACCCTGCAAAACGATAAGGTCCACCTCAAAACCGATAACCCCAGCGCTGTATATGATCATAAGTATGCGACGAACTCAAAACACTGTAAAACGATAAGGTCCAACTCAAAACCGATTACGTCCATTATTTTGTTGAAGAAGAATAAGGAGTTTTGACCGTCCCTCATATATATATATATAGTTAGTCTAGACAAAACCCCGCGGACGGGACGGGACTGAAGGAACACTTTAGGCATCGGTGAGGCCGAACCATTCTGCAGCCCAGCGGTTTCCCAAAGCGATGAACCAGGCATCGAGCCGTCGGCCAGAACGGCGAATGGCATTGCGACTTTGGCAGGTGACCTTCTTCATTCACACCCATCGCGCCCCCACGAGCGCCCCATCCCCCGCACTCTCCACATGGGCGATAGCCTTGCACGAGTCCTTGCACGGCCAAGGCTACGAAAACAAAGTCACCAGAGCCTTGGCGTTTGGGGGGGAATGGATGGCAATAGGCTATAAGATGCAATAGGGTTCCTGTTGGTAGGCGACATATCGGGGTGAACAGGTGTCTAACTGGATTGGGTCTTCCACGGCACCCGTCGAACGTGCAGACGATTTCATGCAGGATTTTTCAACATACCTTTTTCATCCTGTTTCTTTGTACTCGTCTCCTTCGTCTCCTGTTCGCGACCGGGTGGAGTCAAACCATGCAGTGCCACACGAAAACACCGCGGTGGTTCACGAGTCGCACCGCGAAGGGCCGCGGTGTGAGTCGTGGGCGCCCTAGGGCAAGCGATCAAGCACCTGCACGAGGACGTGATGCAGCTGACCCGAATGGTGAAGTCGGGATTGAAGTACCGCATGGTGAAGGAAGTTCTTTGAGGGGGCATCACCAGTGCCACACACACTCCAGTGCTTCTAGACTTGTAGATGCTTCCAGCCCATTCTAGCAGCCCCTTCGGCTTGGAAAAGGCTTCATCGTTCATCATCGTTCAAGGGCTTGGGACGAACTCTGAAAGCAGGTGCAGCTTCAGTGCCTTATGGCGCAATCCTGTGCTGCCAGATTTGATCAATATTTTCCGTGCCGCGTGGTTTCACCTCATATCAAGTCAGGTTGGCACACCAACAATTGGGACAAGCGGTTTCATGCAACACTACTGTATGCTGTGCATTTGGTGCGCGAGCCTCTTGACAATGACCTTCGTTTGTTCCGTCTGTGCCCGCTCAAAATCGCTCCGTGCCTGTGGATGGGCCTGGCAAGCCTCAGAAAGCCATAGAAACGCTGTCAATTTTCAAGCTTCACCCGAACTTATACCCCCTTAAGATCCCTTAAGCCCCCTCCCCTTAAGCCTTTAGCCTTTTCTTGACTCCTTGGCCATTTGGACCACAGAAACGCCGACCGACCGAGCCGAGTGTTGGGCGCCATGGCGAGGCGCGGAGACAAGACACGAGAAGGGATAAAACCGCGTGACAAGCGGTGGAATCCACAGGTGATGAAAATCATCAAGTTCATCAGGTTCATCATCCATGACATGTCAATAAAATATGACTTTGCTTGCTTCAAGCCGTAGGTCCTGGACCTAGTTGGGTTTTGGAGCATTGCACTTGTGACATGTGGAGAGCACCCTTAGTGTTGACCAGGTTTAGCAGGCTGCAGCTGGAAGAGGAGTCTGAAATGGAGGGTGACTTCGGTAAGTTGAGAAGGTCTCTTGGCTGAGGATTGGGAATTGTATGGAATTTTGCCGATATGGTGATAGAGGCAGCTGGTTTCATGCTGATGGTCAAGTTTGCACAAATCTCATCAAATCTCTGAGTATAAGTGCTAAGAGTAGCCTGTTTGAGGTCCATGATGGTCCAATGGCATGTTCGCTGGACCGATTCGCCTATTCAATAGACTATTCAATAGGTCCCGGCTGCGCCGGTGTTTCCTGGTCTTGGATGCTCAGGTACTTGGACGTGCAATTTGAAACGCAGCTTGGTATGCAGCATCATGCAGCTGGTTATGTAGGGCATCCAGACTCCGACCGAGTCTGGACGATGTTTGGAACGAAAGACGAGACATCGAGAGACCATTCCTGGCACACTGACGATTGTGAACTCGAACGACGTACCGACGAACAACGGTCGCGGAAGGTCGCCGAAGAGCGAGTTCGACACACTTCGACTGTCGATGGACTCCTGACACTCACCCGTGAACAAGGACAATGGACAATGTTTCTATATATATACATAGGTCTGTTTGGACAGCCGACCGGCCCAGGCTTGAGAGCAAGCATGCGAATCAGACGTGACTCTAGGAGCCTGGCTTCAGCATTGGAAGGCTGAAGAGCATGGATGTACTGTAAGTTGTTGGTGTGGCAACACCCCCAACTCTGACAAGGCTTCTCCAGGCTTTAACAGCAACACCTGCCAATCCATCCAACCCCATGTTCCAAGAACTGTCATCCAAGCTGCTGCTTGCTTGCCCGAGGCAAACTCAACTCTTGGAACAACTCACTGCAGCCATCAAGACATGCGGTTCCCAGGTGGGGCACGGCGTGAGGTCTTAGTGGTGCTTGAAGTCTTGGTCAAGAAGTTCCCAAGTCACCTCTAGTTTCCTTTAAAGGAAGCAACATAGTATATAACATATTTTTAAGACAGAGTGAACTTATGTGAACTGGTTGGATCAAGTGCCCTAGATTCAGCTGATCTCAAACCTCCGCCGCAACCGCCAGGTTCCGACGGGCATCAGCTCCGAGGGCGTCTCACTCTGCGTCCCTGGCGCCGCGACGCTGCACCCGAGCGGCGACGAGTCCCAAGGCACCGAACCCGACGGCTCCACGCCCGTGGCTCGCGGCGGTGCGACGCGCGACAGCGTGCAGAGCCGGCGGCACACCTTCGTTCGGAGCAGCTCGGCGGACGGACGGACGCAGGGGAGGACGTTCGGAGACGGGGATGAGAGTGCTAAAGAGAGGATTGGGGGGCGCGATTGATGCGAAGTGGCATACTTGATCATACTTGCGCACGTCATCCCAGGTGTGTCAACTGGTCTCTTCCCTGACAGCTAACCAGGGATATGGGCCACTGTAACAATGCACTCAGGTGCCATGCTGAAGCGCCAGTTGGAGGGGCAGCGGCAGGCATCCCGCGCACAGATGGAAGGCTTGCGCTGAACCTGCAAAAACTTGGACGAGGGTTGTTCGAATGCTGCGGTGGATCCAAACTTGTCAACAGAAGTGACATTTGATTCTAGTTTTTATTTGGAAGGGGGCCGCCAATCCAGAAGTGGGTCCTTTGTGCTTTCCACACGTTTCCGTCCTCCGAGCGCACTTCCGTCTCGCAGTGGAGGTGCGCGGGGTGCTTCGACGACTTCCTTGGGCGACCTGAACTGGCGCGGCCAGCTGCGGAAGCTGGTGGCCTCGCCGAAGTTCAGCTACGTCGCGGCTCGGCGTAGTGGCTCCTGGAATGAAGCAGATTAAACTTAACATTGAAATCGCACACTATCACACATTCGTATTTTAGATATATAACATACAGCTGGTGCCACATGACCTCCACAGTACCGGGGGTGTTCCGTTGTTTTCCTCGCGCAGATCATGTGCCTCATCGTGCTGAATGGCATTCTGCTGGGCGTCGAGATCGACGTGGCGGCGCAGCTGCCGTTGACGGAGATCCCCCAGTGGTTCGGCATCGTCAACGCGCTGATCGTGTTTGCCTTCCTTGGAGAAACGACGCTGAAGCTACTGGCGTTGGGCTGTCGCAAGTTCTGGAGAGGTGGGCACCGACGGCACGGCATGGCGAGAAGTCACAAGGGTCACAGATTCTATCAGATTCCAGCAATGAGCACCCATGTTGCAGGCATCCACGCACCACGGGAGGCTCATGAACACCCTTGTCGATTGACTGACGTTTGACACACGAACCACAGAGAGTAACCCACAATTGTCAAAATAGACTACTAACAAGTAATTGCATCTCTGTAAAAAATATACAATATATCTCTATAATATCTATATAACAATTGCTACATATTGCCTACATATCATATCATCATAGCTCTATAGTCTATAGTTATCTCTATAATATTTTATGTATACTGCAATATGTCATATGTACGTACTATTGTGTGTTGCCTAATCACTTCCCCCTCCAGGTGCGGATTCGGTGTGGAACGCCTTCGACTTCACCGTCGTTGCTCACTTGAATATTCAGAATGTGGTGTCCCGGTGGACTGGCACAGGTGGTGTCCCCAACAGTCCTTTGTCGGGTCCCGCCTTCCAGTTTTGAACTGTGTGGCTGACTCTTCGCTGGGCGTGGAAAAAACGGCCGAGTCGCATCGCAGCTCGGGCGGTGGTCGAGCCCAAAAGATCCCCGAGTCGGCCGCCAGCCTGGAGTCCACCATCCTCCATCTGACTCGGCATCCGGGTCGAAGGTGACCTGACCCGAGGTGATCTTCAGTCTCTTCGAGACCGTGGTGGATTGGTCGGCGCAGTCCTTGAACTTGGAAGGCACCAACTCCATGGGCTTGATGCGCGCGCTCCGCTTGGCCCGGATCTTGCGGGGCGTGCGTGCCTCGGAAAGTCTTGGAAGAGGGATGAGTGAGGGGAGCAGCAAGAAGGGCTTTTGGATGAGTTGAGGACCTTTCCAGAGGATTGGAGGATTCAATATGATTCACTTGGGGTGAATGAACCAAGAATAAGACTGATGAGGCTGCCAAACCTTCAGGCAGTGGCAGACGTGTTAGCCGGATTGCACCTGTTCTTTGCAGCTCCTTTTTGGTGGCGTGAAATTGCACCGCCATGGCATGTCTCCAAGGAATCATTCGGCTCTTTCGCTACTTCAGCGCAGCTTGATGAGCACAAACTGGCAAGAGCTAACAGGGCTGAAGGCTGCAAAGGGATGGAAAGGGTATGAGGCAGTTGAAGGTCGGTGTTGCGCATTTGTTGTCAGAATAGACTGCCGGGCTTCCAGAGGCCTCTTACTGTGGAATACTGCAGAAGGATCCTGGCCCGAACTGCTGAGGCCCTGCGGGCCCTACTTGTCTCCATCATGAGCACCATCAGTTCTCTTCTTTGGACCTTGTTGCTTGGACAAACAGTCCGTCGCGGACGAGCCTTTTAGAGCGGCATGCATCTGCTTCAAGGCTGATTCCAGACTGATTCAATAGAACCGCTTTGGAATCCAACAACAGCTGTCCTTAGCCGCTTTTTCCCATGTGCTTGCAGGCTTTTGAGTGCATGAGTGCGACTGAGGCTTTTGTTGCTAATCCTGTTCTACATTTTCGCAATTATTTTTACGCAAATGGTTACCGACCATTGCCGATTTGTGACCATCGATGCAACTGGGAACAGCACGGCTGTACCAGTTTGCCCCGACTCGCTTGCACCTTACTGGTCCAATGTGATGGACAGCATCTAAGTTGCAAGCTTTGTACGCGCTGGGGTTTCCGAGTGAGAAACGCCCATCACACATGGTCCTCAAGAAAAAGTCTTGCTGCCGAGGCAGGACACATAATCTGGGGAAATGACGGGAACGATGGCTGGGGGGAATCCTTGAGATATCTTGAGATCATATAAGGCCATAGGGCCATAGGGTCCAACAACCAGCGAAATATGCGCCCTGGAGAAATTGCACGACAGTTTGGATTCGGGTGCCTTTTGATGCCTGTGATCCAGACACCAGTGTGTGCGCCTGCAGCCTTCACACTGGCATCGCTATCGATGACCCCCGCAGAATGCGGCGTGCCCAGGCATGCACACTCTCTTCATGTCAATTACCGGGGGGGTGAACTGGCTGGATGTCTACGCGCCTCTACGTGAAGTCTCCATGGTAGCGTTGTGGCTCTTCAACCTCTATGTCGTGATCGGGTTCTTTACCATCCTGAATGTAGTGACTGGTGTGCTCTTCAGCTGATTCATGAGCCATACATCATCTCGCTTCGTCGTGTGAAACGAGGTGTTTCGTTGATGGTACTCACGCACATCAGACAATGGTTTTGATGATGTTGTGAAACATCGCCTCCCTTCACCGTCTTGGTTCACCTGTGTAGGCCCATTCTAGTTCAGCTTGCCGTCCTCCGCCATGGTGATTCACATTGATATATTATGATATGGACACTGATACTTGTATTGCTGCTGCTGCTGCTGCCGCCGCTGTTGCTGCTGCTGGTGTTGTTGTTGTTGTTGCTGTTGTTGTTGGTGGTAGAGACAAAAACAGCCGCCCAACATAGTTGTCACATGTTGCAAGTCAGGGATTTCAATGGGATTCTGTTAGGGATAGGGTCGAAGGTTTGGAGAGATGTTAGTAGCTGGACTTCTTGTCGTTGTGGTACTCAAGTCTTGGTTGGTCTGCTTCTTGTTTTTTGTTGTGTTGTTTTGGGGAGGGGGGGGTCCAAAAAACAACAACGGGGTTGCAGTTTTGTTTCTAGGATGTGGTAGAGGTTCTAAGTAGAAGTTTTACAGGGCTTACTTAACCAGTTACAATAAGCATCACCAGTAGCATGACCCCCAGAGGAGTTTCATAGACCCTAAGAAGGCGTTTAAATCGACCATATTGTTCCATTGGAATCCAAAAACTTCCAGGAGTCTCCAAGAAAAGACTGATTTTCAGTGCATAGATTGAGAACCGGGTTTCCACCCCCTCCGCACACGCCCCGCGCACTGTCCACACGTCCCGGGGTGGGGGGTGCCTACCACGAGTAGTAGTAGCATTAGTACCACTAGTAGTAGTAGCAGTAAAGTGCTTGTTGTCCGGTTGCTTTTTTTTTGGGGGTCAAAAAACAACGACGGGGCTGCAGAATTTGTTTCTACCCCGTTGTAGAGAAAAAGAAAGAAGATGTGGTGTAACGGGGTTGCAGTTTTTGTTTGTACCTTGTTGTTGTTGTTGTTGTTGTTGTTGTTGTGGCCTTAAGCTCCGCTGAGTCGAATCGCTTGTCTCGGGCGCAGATCTGCGCTTGCACGCACGCACTGTTGGTCAGATTTGTGAATACGGCCATCGAAAGTGCCAGTGCGGACAAGGACATTGCCACGATCAAGCAGGCACAGCAACGGCTCATGCTTCTGGAATCTCTAAGAGATGTCTTCCAGGAGAGTCGGTTTGGAAGAGCCGATTCGGAGACGGAGACTATGGACTGTGACCGCGTCTTGAGCCTCGGGAATCGGGAACTGTCGCGAAATGAATTCGCCGCTCAGAAAAGCGATGTCGTTTCTCACGGTATATATCGCTCAGCTACCGTCGTCCACAGGCCATCTTTGGACCCGTTCGGTTTTCTCCAGGAGATGGCTGGCAACAACGATGCGCGTGTGAGCCTTGGTGAACTGCAACAGGCCATCGACACGAACAACACCCTGGGCATCTCGGTTCCAAGAATGCCATCCGACTCGCCAGACGCATCAAGTCGCGTTGCACGAGGGTTTCGGCACCTGTTTGGTGTGCAAAGCTACCAAACAGGTCTGTTACTGTAAGTTGTTTTGTTGTTTTTTCAGGAAGCTACAACTGTGAACCAGGGAAGAACAGAGGGCCGGCTTGCAAAGATAAAGATCAGTGAATATCTTTGGCTGGGTATGGTCTGGGGAGTGTTTTTGGACTGTGTGCGAATTATGATTCTTCTTTCTTGGCACTGCACTTGGTCCAAGAAACACTTTCCTCCTTGTCGTGACCATTCGTGACCTTTTGATGGCTCTTGGGCTTTGGGGCTGTCATGGCTTGGACAGGCACATTCATGCAGTCCTTGGGCATTTCCACCGATGATGTTTGGACCCTCTTCCTGCTCATTGACGTGGATGACAACGGGGTGGTGGATATTGAAGAGTTTGTCGCTGGTTGTATGCAACTGCGTGGCCCTGCTCAGAGCTTGCAGGTGGCCAAGATGGCATATGAAAACAAACTCACGCGAAACACAGCTGCACAAATGGGGCTTTGGAATGCTTTGGATGGGAGGAGGTTGGAGTTGCAGGTGTGCTCATCAGCCTGAGCAGATTGCCACGGAATGTGTGGTTTTACAGGGGAAAGAATCCGACCGCTGACATGAACATGCTTAGCAAGAGTTCCAATAGTGAGTGGGACATCCCGAAGTTCAATGCCGTATGAAAGGCCAGCAGAGGCACGGGTTGCCTAGTTTGAAAGAGAACGCGGGGATTTGATTGTATTGCCCGCAAAGGTCAAGAATACGATTGACTCTCCTTAACTTGAACAGCCGTTTCACATACGTTGGGGTATTGGGGTGTGCTCAGGACAAGCCATCAAGCAGATCTCCAAGGACACGTGGTGGATGAGCTGTTCGGAGCTTCACAACGCTCTGAAACAATCCGAAATCATTCTTAAAGACTTCGAAGGGAAGCGGTTTGAGCCCCCCTGGCGGGGGCCCCTTTGCCCGTAAAAACTCGTGCCATCTCGTGATGGTTTCGAATCACGGCATGATGTCATCCTAATCTGATCGCGGGGTGCTGGTGAGTGCCACATGGGCCTAGGGTACTGAAAAGCCGAGACCGTCCTGAGTTTGAAGAGGTTGAGGGAGAAAAACGAAAGAGACCCGGTCTTTTGATACTCTCTTTTGGCGAGGACGTGGCATCCTTGACTAGCCTGCTGACCTTTGCCCGGAAACCGCCCGTGCCGTCAGTGGTTCGTGAGGCTTGCTGAGTAGCAACCCATCAACCTCGAAGTAGTTCTTTGATGTTCCTTGGGCATCGGAGAAACAGTGTGATGAGTGGCAGTCATTTCGCTCTTTGTTTTCAACCGACCTTCAAAGGTGCCTAGAAACAGCGATAGTACGTAGTTCTCTCATGCTGGACATGTTCAGACCCGAACAATGGGGGGTGCCCATGGGGATTGAAAGCTTTTGCTTGAACACAGCTGGAGGATGGACTGGCACCCAAAGGGGCCCAAAGGGTGTTTGCCTTCCAGCGGCCTATCACGGCTATGGCCTATGGTCTCACCATCGACCCAATGTCGACAGTCGCCGAAGAGAAAACGGTGAGGCTCGGGGCGACCTGGAGCCACCGGATCGACCAGTTCCGCACGCGATGCGGCGGTTCGGGGGGGGGGGGGGGGAGCCATGTCATGGGGCGACTTGGGGGGGAACTTAACCGACTTGCAACCAGAGTTCAGATCAGCACTCATCAACACTGATCAGCACTGCCGTCCAACAGATCCAGTAGGCTATGTATAACCTCTCTTGGGTGGGCAATCGGCTCATGTGGATTGTGCTGATCGGCGATGTTCGACCGGACCGGAAGGCGATGTTCTGCGATGTTCACCTCACAGGAAAGCAACAGGTCGTTGATCTCCAACGTTCGTTGTTGACCTCCAGCTGTCAGGTTGAACTTCAAGGGGAAAGACCTTGGAGAAGACAAAGACGCTGACTGAAGAACAATGAATAACATGGAAGTTGGAAACCACTTGCTTCTAGAAGAACATGGCCGCCGTCAGCATCCGCCAGCAGCCAGTTTCGACTTCCATGTTAAATCTAGACCTGGGTGGAGGCCATCGCTATTAGGAAGAGTACTCCTAATTGTAAGGGTATTTCAGATACTACTAGTAACAAGTGCCACGCTTGTAGTAACAGGTGCCTTACTAGTAGTAACAAAGAAGCTATTAGAATTAAGTTTAAATTTACTCTAAACTTAATTCTAATAGCTTCTTTGTTACTACTAGTAAGGCACCTGTTACTACTAGCGTGGCACTTGTTACTACTCTTTCCACCGACCTCCTGGCAGTCACCAGGTTCTGATTCTGCGGCCTCGCTGTCCGGATGCCTCAGCGGTCTTCTATACATGGTCCCACATTGCAGCCCGGGGGGGGTAAACGCGGACTTCTATACAGATTGACAAGGACGATCAAGGGTTTTTATTTTTGCCCGGAGTGCGCCACGATTTGCATCTATTGAGTCGGTAAACGGACTTGCTTCGTTTGGGCAGCTGCAGGTCTTTGCCCCGACCGGCCGGTCGTTTCCCGAAAACCCGCTGATTCTGAAGCCTGCAGGACACTGAGCCAATAACAGAGAAGCATGTGAGACTTGCCAAAAGCATGCTTCCCAAGGGAGGACCGGTGACTGGTTTGACTGCAGTTTATTCAGGTGGACGTGTTTGTTTGCATGACTGACTCTAGACTCAGAGACATGACAGTCAGAAGCCCTCATGCAGCATCCCGCAGATGTGCCATTTCATTGCCATTCACGGTATCTATGGAATCTATAAACCTTGGGTAGAACAACTGCACCGCACCTGTCAAACTTGCCATGTCTTGCTTGATGGATGGAAGAGAAGAGGTGATTGCAGCCTGGACTGCGTTGGTCGGACGTGGCCGGATGATGTAACCTACAGATCTACCAGTGTTTCTTTTGTTCGACCTTAGCCCACCGCAGCCCATCTTTCTAGCAGCATGCTACCTAGCTAGACTTTCTCAAGTTGTCCAGAGGTGTGACAATCTGGACTGGCATAATGATCAGCTTAGGATGTTCGCCTGTGCTTGTTGACATGCTTCCTCACATGCTGTGTTGCACACTTCGTTGGACGGACATGGTTTTGAGAGCTGTCCAAATCTGCATAGTCCATGAAATATCTAGATCATTCTAGATCTATAATATCTAATATCTATATAAATTTATTGTGAGAAGCGTAACGAGAAAGTCTTTAAGCTCACAATATGTGACAATCCTCAGCTACCTTACCAAAGGAGTGTCTTGGAAGATGTTTTCCTGTGCTTCAAGGGATAAAATTGTTCTGGTCATACTTTTTTGAAGGATCTTCAAAACTCTAGTGGAAGGTCCATCGAGGGACTCACCTGTTGGTGGGAACAGATTGAGGTCACGGCAGTTGAGGGAGACTTGCAGAGTGCCATCTATGATTCTTGGTTACACAAAAGAAGTGATATGCAGGTGGTTCGTAAGAGCCACCAAAAAGCTTTCCAACACCTTTCAACCAGCTGGCGAGTCGTTTTTCTCCCAGTTTTCCTTCCAGACCCTGCATGTCTTAAAGCTACGTGCAACCTCGAGTTCTTCGCGTGGTTAAAGTGAGGATCAACTCATGGATTTGAGGGCGTATCTGGACCTGCAATTCGAAAGGCTGGGACTTTTTCATGTCGCTAGGGCGTCGATTGGTCACTCTGAAGAGACCAAAATAATCTGTTGGGTGGAGTCGTTGTGGACTTGCCTCGTTTGAACATTGACAGGGGCATTCCCAGACACCATGGGAGTGGTTTCATGTGTTTTCCACTGGGTGCTCGCTGCGACCAAATCACCACTGTTCGTCAGGCAGTCTCACCTCATCCAGTGCACCCACCTGAAGCACAACGCCCCCCCCACGCGCCCAGCGCCCGCGGCGCCGCACGCGCCGCACGCGCCGCACGCGCCGCGGCTGCGGCGGAACACCACCACGTCGGAGCTGCAGCGGAGCTGGGGCTCGGAGGAGTACAAGTCAGAGATCCGATCCCATCAGTCTGAGGAGCCGGACGAGGCCGAAGTGGAGGGACTTCTCGCCGGGAGAAGGAATGCGGGAGCTGCAGTGTTCTAAAGGTCCGGCAGCCTGGATCATGATGGATCCCAAGATAGCGAGTGGATCAAGGCAGCACGTTAATTATCTTGCCTTTTGTTGACCCGTGCCAGGCCATTCGCTCCAATCATTTCCCCAAGCTTTCGACCTTCTCACTGGCCTCAATGGCATCAAGTGCCTATTCCAACAGCAACAAGCGCCGAACCTTGGTAAAGACGGCCGTGCTGGAACGGTGCATCTCTGCACAGATGAAGGAGCAGAAAAGAAAGCGCGAACGCTTCTCAATGGTGCAAAACAGCATCCTCGTCGAAGAGGAGGAGGGAACACTTCAGAGGTTTGTGTCCTCATCGTGCCTTGTTGATCTTGTTTAAAGTTGAGAAGGGTTTGTAGAGGCTTGGGGCGGTCCCAAATCATCCACATGGCTTTGAGAGCGGAGGTCAATTGTGTCAAAGATCGTCAAGGGAATCTCCTTGAACACGCCTCATTTTCCAATTCAAGCAGCTGAAACTGGAACCCATTTCAATCTTTTATTGGGAGCTCTAGGCTCTTGCAAGCTTCTTGTTACTAGAAGCGATGCACTTGTTACTAGTAGCTTCCCGAAGATGGTGGAGAACTCGAAGCTCTCAGTCCACCGAGCTTGCACGGGATTGCTTTTTCTTGTCAACTGTCGACAGGTCCCACCCGCTGGAAGAAGCCAGGTGTGTTGACACATTCTTCCGAGCTGTTCTTCTCCTATTTATATTTCCCCTTTTTCCCCTTCAATCCGTGATCTTCTCTCCTGTCTGCGGTTTCAGATCCAGCTTCAGGTCCTTCAGCTACGCGCTCATGGCGCTGATTGTGATGAACGCCATCCTCATGGGCATCGAAATCGACGTGACAGCGGGGCTGGCGCAGGAAGACATTCCAGGATGGTTTGCAGTCGTGCCTCAGAGCTGTTCGGGTGTGGGTGCTGCCGGGTGCTGGGTGCCCCGTGGAGGTCGCAAGGTCTCCGTTGGGAGCATCAGTACGCAACTCACTTTTTCCGCCGGGTCGAGTCTTGCAGGTTTGGGTGTATGGCAGTATGGCATGGCCAGTTTTGATGTGGATGAATCCCATTGGAAGCACCTCCACGACTGAAGAATTGGGAACCACAGATTGCCGAGGGAGGAGGGCCAGTGGCCAGTGTTTAGCGATACGCGGAATGGACATGTACCAACCGTAGCCTAGAAGCGCTAGAAGACTTAGGGTTTTCGAGTTCTAGAATCCTCACTGAGTGGCTTGTCAAAGTGATTGATTATCCATCTGCAGCATTTCTTGCAGGTGAATAGTATTTTTGTGGTGATCTTCGTGATCGAAATCTCTTTGAGAATTCTGGCCTTTGGCTGCTACTCCTTCTGGAGAGGTGAAGAGAATTGGTGGAACATTTGGGACTTTTTGATCGTGCTGGTCTCTGTGGCGGCTCAACTTGAAAGTCGAAGCATGTGATGTGATCCATTCATATTATATATATATATATATTGACACACCCCCTGGAATCATCATGGAAGCCCATTTTCCTCCGCAAACCGGTAGTGAACTCCACTTCCATGATTCCATGGAGTGTATGCGTGTTGGTGTGTGGTGCTTGTGGTGTATGCAAGGCATCGGAATGCTACATGTTGACAGCGAGACTGACTGCTGGAAGCCATACCGAGCAAAATCAATGGCGCCCATGCCAGCCCAATGGATATCAATGAATACTTGGTTGGGTGCGCCTGAGGCCCTAGGCCCACACCAACCCCCCCAAAAAGCAACTGCAGCAAAAATAGCAGAAGGGCAGCGAACAGAACATCTCAACAATTAACACCCTTTGAGAATCAGGTTCTGAAAGACCCTCAGCTCTCAGGATGTGCTGCCCTAGGTGAAGAGACATTTAAGAATATGATAGAATATGTATTATATAATTAATAGAGGTCTTGGTCATGACGGCCCTCGAATATGTCAACCTATGCTTGCATTTGGATCCACGTCAAAAATCTGGAAACTTTCCTAACCTCTCTGCGACGTGCTGGGCCGGATTGCGTTGGTGAGGTGGTGATTGCATGGTGGGCTTCTTCACTCCTGGAGTTTCAAAACTATGGCTCCAACACCATCCGCGTGCTGCGCGCTTTGCGCCTGGCGCGGATCTTCCGCGGCGTGCGCATCACGCGGCTCTTTCGGTACTTCAGCGCACCTCGGCGGAACCACCGGGGTGGGGGGTCGCGTGTGCTTGCGTCGCTGGTTCGTCGCTGGTTCGTCGCTGGTTCGTCCGGGTCATTGGTGGATGGACCGGGTGGGTTCGGTCGCTTCAAGGCCTTGAGAGCCTTGATCCTCTCCATCATGAGCACGATGGGCTCCTTGTCATGCAGAATGGTGAGTCGTGAGGTGGTTCGAATCTAACATCTGTTATTTTTCGGGGGGGGCTTCTATTCTGCAGGGTGTTGAGGTTCAGGGTTCAGGTCATGATATGGCTTTTGTTGGTCACACTGGGCAAAAAGTGTTTCACCATGTTTCACCCGTTTTTCGCAACTACCCGTGTCGCATTCATTGCATCATCGCCGCGTACAGAGGTTCATTAATGTGGACTCTCTTCTTGCTACTGGTCATCTTCTACATCTTCTCTCTCATCTTTGCCGAGCTGGTCAGTGACTTTTGCCGATCCGCCACCAACAACTCGACCTTGGTTCCGGTGTGTCCCGATAATGAGCAAGGACTGGAGGGGCTCGTCTACTGGGAGGGCATCATCCAATGCATGCACACGCTCTTTATGACGATCACAGGTGGGACAGAGGGAGACAACTCCGCCGGGAGACAAACAGTGCTAGTTGACCTCCTCTTTTGTGCAACGTTCTGAATGATGCGGGGATACGGTAGCACAATAGCACACAGTCGTCAGTAGATATATATACATATATATATATATTCCCCAAGCAGTGTGGGCACACTGAGGGGTTCTTACGGTAGGGGAAAGGAAGCTGATGCTTAGATCGCTGAAGCGCGCGGGCGTGACCGGCTAATTCGTTGCTATTTACAGTACATTCATGCCTCTCGACATCGTCCATGTGCACTTCGACTGCGCAGGCTCGCAGAATCTGGGTGGCGGCAGTGGGTGCTTCTAGCGACTGCGCTCTCGTTGTGGTGCCGTGCGCATTTTCGCATATGGTGGTGACTTTTCGTGCCAGGCGCAAGGGAAACCTCGTGTTTTGGTGCTCCAAAGTCGACTTTTCGTGACAGGTGCAAGGGATCGGGGCTGTTTTACTTCGAAATGCATTTTTCGTGGCAGGCACAGCACTTTGGACATGGTGGTCATCGGCTTGTTTGCAGATTTCGTGGCAGGCACAGCACTTGGTGAACCTCGAAGTACAGATTTCGTGGCAGGCGCAGCACTTGGTGAACCTCGAAGAGCAGATTTCGTGGCAGGCGCAGGACTTGGTGAACCTCGAAGTCCAGATTTTGTGGCAGGCACAGCACTCTGTGATGCAGCACTTGGTGAACCTCGAAG